AATATAGTAAAACTATAGCAAAAAAGGTTCTGACCGCGGTTAAGTATACATTCGACTTAAGTCACTGAAAAGTAGTCTGATTGATGAAGAACCATGTGCAGTTTATTCTTTACTAGAACTATACTCTCCGTGTAGTTCTGTAGTTAACTAAAAGTTAACCTGAGATTGTATACTTATAGGTATACTTGAAGTTAGGATCCTTCTACCCGAGTTGCGTGGTCCAATATCGCAAATCTTTGTGACGAATATTTTCTTTTCTTCACTGGGGAGATATCACAGAGTATCAGAATCTCGTCTCAGCCATAGAAAACCGCTGTGAAAAAGCGCTTTCTGAAATTCCCAAATCTAAAACTGGCCAACTGTGCAATTGCCTTATTGCTTCAAGTATGCGCGTGACAGTTCTTTGCAAGAGGACGGCGTTTAGCGTTTGTTCTGCTCATTATTTCTGATTTGCTGTTTCGCCTTGAAATTGTCGCCCTGAGCTGCACTACATTTCTCCTGACTCATTCTACGTTCTTACCGTTCTTCCCCGAGAGCGAATTCTTTTGTGGTTACGGTTCATTTGCTTCGATTTCATTGCGGCTGCCGATTGTCATAAAGTAAAAAGCGGGAGCTGCTCGACCGTAGCGAAGCGAAAGCACAGCCAAAAAAACTATTAGAAAAATAGTAGATTAGAATATCTAATGCAAGCTTTCGTCTAGTGATGGCACCCTGCCGAGGAACAAGTCAAATGCATCCCAGAGCAACAACTGTCCTTAGTGCAGCGTGGGAAAGTGCTCTGCGACAATACGGAGAAAGCCTTGTTAATGGGGACCTGCGGCTGCACAGCAGCTGGCGGTGCTGATGGATGCAAGGTGCAAACCTTTAGCAGAGTGCTCTTTATTAGCAACATTTCACATAAAATGTTATAATTGATTCCTCTCTATACTCGCTCTATATTTTTGTTCGGGCTAGCAAAAAATTCACTTGTCTAATGTTTTGTGTGGACGAGCTAACTATCGTATGACGAGTAATTAGTTTTTGAAGTGTGGCGAATTCCGCAAACATGGTGTGGCCCATGACGGCGCTGGTGCGCTGCACACCGGTGTAACCCCTCGCCGACAGCGTTACCGCGGTTCGAACTTCCAGCAGGACAATGACTGCCTCGAAAAGGACTTCGTCATGGAGTCCATTACGGCTCATGGCCATCGAGGGAAAGTTCTTCTGCCCTCTTCCTTTATTCTAATCGCTCCATTCGTCTTACAGTTTTATCATCCCTTATGCTATTCCTTGCGGTGGGTCATGGTGACAGATTACCTAACGCAATGAGAATTGAATTTATTCACAAGAGATGTTTGAACCTTTGGCCTGCCTGTGCGGAAGCGGTCGGGTCGTGACCACTCGGACACGCGTATCACCAGTCTGACAGCCGCACATGTGGGTGCCGAAGTCAGTCACTGTCTCTCCCTTCTCGATCCCCACCCCCCCTCTCCCAAACCCCCGCGGCGCCGTGGCTTAGGAGCGCTCTTCCGCGTGCAGTCGATGAGATGCCTTTACAACATCTACCTCTAGTTTATTCCGTTTTTACTACGCTCGGCGCGCCGTGCGCCCGAGTCTTCATGCTGCAATACGTAAGTCGATTTTGCACGGCTCGAAAAAAACGGGGTGAAGTTTTGTTTATAGTAAAGTGAACTTCTATATATGGTGAGCACAGCAAATGGAACAGACCCTTTCTTTTTAGCAGATGTTTTACCGCATCAAAGCGTGCGGACGGATTCTTTAGCAGGCAACCCGCTGTATTTCTGTGAATACGAGGAAATATTACTGAATCTCGTGAACTAATGAAGGGTGGCCGAAAGTTATGGTATAAACCGCGTTCGGTCCATATTCAAGGGGCGGTAACCTCAGGCAACTCGTCGTGCTCAAACTCCCGGCTCGACACATTTTACCCCTTGGTCCACACACTTTACACGTGCAGACGAGCGCCGCACTGCGGCCGGGCCGGTGCTTGGAGGTGCGTCCCTCTGCTCCATCGGGGACACCTCGCGTGCGTAGGACGATGTGCGCCGGTGCTGGAAATTCGTCGTGTGATTGTGTGCAAATGGGCCCAGGTGGTTCCCCAAGGGCCAGAGCGGCCGCTGGTGGTGGCGCCCTCCGCCCCGCTGCCTGCTCTGTGCCCGTTACTGCAGTGCACTCGCGGCCCCCGGCAGCCCAGCGGCCGCCCGCCCCGGTCATGTTGATCGCCCGTGATGGACAGCCCAGGCGCAGTAAGATTGTTGTTTTTAAAGCCCCAGTGTGATAGATTTGACGACCTGTGAACACCGCCGCGCTGTGACCTTTTGACGTCCATACGGGGCGGCCAGAGAAAGTGACGAGGAAGGGTTAAATCGTAACTTTAGCTTCTTAGTGGCTGGGGGCAGGCCGAGTAGATATGCCAGGCTGTAAGCCTAATAGGGGCGGCGCCTATGGCATTTGTGTTTGCCATTTAGAGCAACCAAAGCATGATGATAAACTTTACTTTGTGTAGGCGATTTTATCCACGTAGATTTTACAGGATTCAAGACCAGTAGATCACGGCACAACCCGTTCGAGCTGGAACACGAATCGTACACCGGGCATGTTTCAATGAAGAATGAAAAACAAACAGTTAGTGAGTCAAGATCTTGCTTTAATTTTTTTTCGACAAAACCATTAAAACATTTACGGGAACTAAAAAAAAACTTAACTTTGATTTAAAATAAGTGCTCAACTGTGATAGCGATGGTGACAAAGCCTGCGTGTGCTGGGCGCTCGCGTGCCGCCCGCCCGTCACGCCGTTTCCGTTATGTTACGTGTGACGGCGGGATGGGCTGGATGCTGCATCCCGCTTCCTCGCCAAGCGCACCATAAGGGCACTGATGGTGTGACGCATCTCATACCGAGGTGACGAAAGGGGTGTCGAGATCCATGATTCCCTTGAGGTGCTCTGAAAATCTTAAATTAGAAGGAATAATGGTACATGAAGGTGTAAATTGAAATAAATCTGTGCAAAGTGCCAAAGTGCCTCTCTTCCCAAAGTATTATTTACAACGTGGTCGTGTATAGAGATTCACTACATTGCGTGATTAAGAAATTAATAAAAGTTACTTACAAAATCGTACTGTAACATTTCCTTGGAAACATTTTACCTTCTGGTAGAGACTGTCTCTGAGACTGTCTATAAAAATATTTAAAAACTCTCATTTACTGCCTACTGTTTCTGACAGTGTATGTTTTCTGTTCCAGGTGAGTGGGTGTAGAGATACGTGTGTCGGTAAGTGGCGCCACGATTGAGATCTGCGTTCTTTTAACGCCGCGGTACTGACGGCCAGTCACGAGCCGGTGCGGCGGCGTGGCTGCGGCGGTGCAGCGGGCGCCCTGCAGTGCGCTGCACGCGCTGAGCTTTCACTGACCAGCTATAGAGCCGCGCAGGGTCAGTGATCATTAATTGCTGCCAAACGAGAGAGAGAGAGAGAGGAGGAGAGGATAATGTCGATGACGGCACATCTGACGGTCTGACGCACGCTACTTGTGATAAGGGGCTTCAGCTTTGGAAGGCATGCAACATGCTTTACATATCAGGTCGAAGACGTCTGAGTGAGGGCCCATCCATAAGTCGCACTAACTGCAATCATGACTATAGATAGTACGCGCGCGGGTTGGTGAAAACAAGTAGGAAACAAATGCAACAAACGTTACGGACTTATTTGCAATATTGTAGTTTAAAGATCTATCATTTACGTATATGAGTCTAAAAAACTGACTTTGTTATAACATGCCTTTATTTGCACATAATTTGCAAAAAAGTGATTGCATGCCAAACGTTTCGAATTGAAGTCTCTTTTCTTACCTATCATTTCCTTAAATGCAATGGGTTAATTTCAGTCAAGGAATGCTTCGCAGAATTGCGAAGGAATTAGATCCTTATTGTAACTTATTGTAACTACAAAGCGTTTTCATTGAAATTTTAAAATATATGCTTCGTATATATTTATAAATATATAAATATATATGTATACAAATGATCTAAATCGCAAAGCATTGCTTTGCAGAAATTTAACAGTATGTGAATACAGTTGCTTTTAGTGATTATTGTTAGGAGGGAAAGAATGGGCTGAGACTCGGGCATCGGTATTCTGAGTTTTACGTTACGTTTTTCTTAACGTTTTTCGGCATGTGCGCCGTGCGATGCGGAATTTGTCGCTCGCGCGCGCTGATTTGAATCTCTTCCAACTGCGAACGTTACGTTGATTGGCCATCGGAAGGGAGATGAGGCGAGGGTAGCGGTGGTGGGCAGGGGAGAACGTGATGCGAGGTATTGCTCGTCGGGGAGAGTGTTTTCCGGTAGGTGTTGGGGGCGGAGAGAGAGAGAGAGAGAGAGAGAGAGAGAGAGAGAGAGAGAGAATGAGGTGTATGTGGAGCTCGACTTGCGTATTGAAACCGACAGTGAGATTGCCGCTGCATCGACTGGTAATTGCTTCCTCTCCTCTCCTTGTTCTTCTCATTTTTCTCCCCTCCCCCTTTCCCCGTGCCCCTTCTCTTTAGTTATAAACAGCGCTTTGCGCGGTGCTACTTTACATGTCCCTCGTGTACCCTATGGCCTCCCCTCCCCTGGCCCCCTCCTCTAGCACCCTTCTCCACCCACACTTTCCCTTCTCTTTTCGTTGAACCGACGGAAATCCAGCGGGTGGGCGTAGGTTCACGCACGCACGACATGCCTGCTCCCCCCTCCCTCTGCCTCTCTCTCTCTCTCTCTCTTTCGCAGGTACGACAAATGGAAATTGCTGGTTGATTCCGGAAATGGCGTTATATGTATGCGGAATGGCGCCTGTCCGGCCGTGGCGCCGAGCCGTGTCGTGGGAGCCGGGCGGAGCTGAGCTCTGCTAATTCCCAGTTAATGCGACAGGGACAATATTTCTTGCCCTGTTGCAAGCTGTCTGGAGGAAGACACTGATGGCAGTTTTATAATACAGAAAAAAAGGTTTATTTTGCGTTGGTTTCAGGGAACGGGTGGGGGTCCCGAACGTGGCTCTGGCCCGTGTGCCGCTGGAGCTGCAGCTCTACATTGTGCTGGTCTAGATATTGACGGAGATAACGCTCGGTTTCACGGGATCGTCTGCGCCATCGGGTTGGTGGCTGGGGCTGGAGCTGGAGCCGTCTCTACTTTCGCTTTTTGAGGTCGCCTCTCCGTTTGGCTGTTCGGGCGGGCTCGTGTGCATGCGTTTCCGCGCGTTCTTCGCCCTGCGTCCATACGCACGATACGACGCACCCTACAGTTGTCCGCTGCGTCGAAAAACGTCGGTCGGCTAAGTGAAGTAATTTTTCCACGTGGACCGCATGACACGACAAACTCCGTTCGCCGTGGAAAAAAATAATTGTAGGTTTTAAGGGTCCACGAACGGTATAATGAAATTTAAAATTGTAAAACTACAAAGCACCGCGTAACGACTTGAAATTTATTCGACGAGCAAGAATGAGCTGTCGTTAATCAACTAAAATACTTTGTAAATAGTAAATTACAAAAAGAGATACTGTAAATCTACGAGAAAATTTTTCACACTGTTGCTCTGTACTACAAAGCTATGCTGTATTTTCTATTTGAATGCCACTGCTCGCGTTTTTTACGAACGTTCTACGTTCAAGCGTTTGCACCCCCTCTTTTTTGAGGTCGGCTATACCAGATAAATTCTGGAATTTGACTCTGTACACTCGCGTCGTGTTGGATGGATGGTTTGTATAACATTCGCATATCTGCACAGCGGACACCGAGGAGGTTGGGCAGCGTTTCACTTTACTTCATGTCTGCCGTGCTTGTATGAAAAATTTACACGTCCTCGCGCTTTCTCGTTGTGCCGCGGGTAGGTGGGGCTGTGGGGCTCGGATCATGCGGGACCCCGACACCCCTCCTCCTCCGCAGCCCTGAGCTGCTCGCTGAGCTGTCGGTACCGTTCCAAGCTGTCACTACTTCAGTCTTATAATTGCGTTCTCGGCCGCGGGTCGCCTAAGTGGCTTCAGGTCCAAGGAACGTTTGGACGGTCATTCATCTCGAAATCTCTGTGTTATAAAAAAAATCGCTAAACACCCAAGGCTTCCAATGTTTTCGAGAGGCAAAGTTAGCGTCGATTGTGATTCACAGAATATTTGTACTGTATGTATTTCCTTCTAATGTCCGTGTTCTTGCCGAGCGGATTTTTAGTCTGAGCAATAGTTTAAGGGGGGTCAGGACAAAAAAAAATGATTTTCGGTTTTATTTTTTAAAAAATTATCTGACTCTTCCTGAGTCTATAGCTGTTTAGTTTGTAAAGAAATTCTAAAAATTGTGACCGTGGGATTTTTTCTTGTGAAGAGTCAAACCTGAAATTGCCCATTAACGTCAACTTTAGATGCGTTTTTCTCTGAACTTTACTTTTCAACCTTGCGCGCAGAGTTTCTCCTACACCCTTAATGCCACAGCTATGAAACTTTGCAGGCTTCATTTTTACAGTATTTTCAACAACTTGTCACAGGATTTTTTCGAAATTCCTACCCATTGATTTTTTAAAAAATGTTATAGGGGTGAAAACGGCATGATTTTGGTCATGAAACTTAAATTTGTCATTAAAAATCAGCAAGTGAGAATATCAAGAAAATCCTGTGACAAGTTTTAGGTATTCATATGGCTAACTTACAGGAAAAGTTTCAGCGTTGTAGTGCAAACCATAACCGAGAAACCTTGCGCGCAAGATTTTTAACCGTTATGTAACACTTTACTAGAATTGTCGTTCAGGGTGACTCTTGAGAGTTAGGATACTTTTTGAGCCTGGAAAATGGTCACAATAGACCAATAGTTAAATGCTTTACCCTGTCGACAGTCCCACACTCACCATATCCCTACAGGACACATGGTTTTAGAGCCCTAGAATTGACAAAATTTTGTCCTGACCCCCCTTAAAAGTATAGCATCAAATAATCATAGCCAACCCATCCACTGTAATACCGTAAGAATTTACGGTTTGCCTACGGTCCGTACCGTATTTTCAGCGCTCGGTCAGGCTGTAACAGTGTGAACTGTACTTTCTTGTTTAGGCTAAGAGCTGTATTAATACAGCGATGATAATACAAGTCGAATTCGACTTCCCCAACATTTTTCCAAGTTACGGTCTGTTCTATATGCCACGGACCGTACCCAAATATTACGGTGCCGGACCAGGCAACAAATTTACAGCGCAAATGCTTTATCTGCAAAGTTTCAAATGTTAGGTGTTCTTGTAGTCTACGGAACAATGCTTTTTGGGCGCTTCAAATACTTCACATGTTATAATTTTGGGTTGAAATTGTTTTCATTAGATTTCTCTTAAAGATGTGTCTCCCCCTTCCATTTAGCAGTCTACAGTATTGGCTCTGCATCGGGTTCGCTCGTGTTCACTCGTGTTCGCCGTGCCGAGGTGTCCTAACGCGTAGCTGTCATTACAACGCGCTCCGCTCCAGTTTTGCTCTCGTGCCATTTTTTTTTGTGCCGGCCGGAAGGTCTTGTCCCGTTATGCATGTCCGTCACGTTGCCATGGTTACCGCTCTGCTCCGGTCCTCCCGCTCGATGCAGCCCTTTTTCCGGTCCGGCATCATTCGGACGCGACCCGGAAAGACATTTAGCTTTCGACGTGTTGTTACATTATGTCAGGTTAATTGCTGCCTAGTAGGCTTCAGAACTGGAAAAAGCAGCTGCTGCAGTTTTAAATATTGAGGTCAAGCATCAGCTCTATCAATGCCGATATAATTTTAATTTAATGTCGTCAACCGTCCGTAAGTTACAACTCTGTTGCCCCGTTATCGTGAGGCATCATATTAATTATTTTTGTTCACGAACTCTGCAGCGTTGTTGTGTCCCGCTGCTGTACAGTTCATGAACAAATAAATTTAGCGACTATACATTTGTGTTTCTTATTAGAGCTTCGTCATATTATATTTCTCTCGGATACTAGTCTGTTTCAAGGAGAAGTTATTTCAATAAAACGCCGCCCGACATTTTAAAGCCGCTTACCTGTCGGGCTATCAAAAGTACACAGTTTTGATTAACAAGTAAATTATAAACATTAACGTTTTTATCTGTCCTCTTCTCATTCTTTTTTGTTTGATTGTTTTGTATCGGTCGCCATGTGCTTGAGGGGAACGACCTTTGGTGTCTCCGCTATCTGTGTGAGTCAGCCGTAGTCTTGCCAATCAGTCAAGGTCAAGCTGTCCTGCCGGGCCTACCGGGCCTGCAGGCCGGTGCACACACACACACACGCGCGCGCGCGCGCGCGCGCGCGCGGCACCCAAACAGACCGCCCCCGCGTGCCGTCGTGCCGCACGGCCGCGTCCCGCCTCGGCGGGCACGGGGGGGAGCCGAGCGCGACCCGAAGCTCGCCGGTCGCCCGGCCGAGCCCAGGCGAGCGAGGCGAGGCGAGTCTGCCGGCTGCCTGAGCCAGTCGTTCGCCTGACATCCCGGCGCCCGCATCGCGTGTGTCCGCCGCGCGTCGTCCGTGCGTCTCCGTCCCCGGCCAGGGAAGACCACGCCCCGGCCGCGCTCTCGTGTGACTGTGTGTTGTGGTGTGCCGACTATCTTGCGAGTGAACGTTCATTGTGTGGATTTTGCCTCTGTTGGATTACGCCGCGCCCCTCTCTGCCAGGTGAGCGAATTGGGATAGCGGACGAGCACCTCTTTTTTCTGGCCGTCTGTTTTCGCCGGGAAGTCTCACGGCCGGCGGAGGTGTCGCGCCTGGCGGCAAATGGCTTTGGCCTGGAAAGCTTGTGCTAGAGAGTTGTGCCAGAGGTTGCGCACTTTGCGGCACTTTGCTGCAGTGGCCCAAAGCTCTTTAGTGTGTTTTGGTGCTCCAAACTGCGCTCGTGTTGCTCTTCCCAGCATCCACCCCGGCCCCGAATCCTCAAAAGCAAAATGGAGCAGTGATTCGCATTGTGAACAGCTGCCGGCCCGTCCGGTCCGGCCGAGGGCCCGGCCCAGTCCGGCGCATAAGACAATAATTGGCCTCGAGTCCCGGAGCGTGCTGCTGGAGCCTGCCGGGGACTGCTGGAGGCTGCTGCTGGAGGCTGACCGGCCGCTGGAGAGCGCCAGAATGGGTCAAAGTCAGCCGGTTATAATCGATACGCCCCAAAGTAATACGCTTAGGCGAAACGAGAATAAAGCGGGACGCATGTTCCATTGTTTTGTTGGTTAGCGTTACACACGAGATTTTACGAACGGATAACTCTCAAGGTTCCCCCCGTGCATATGGTTAGAGGATTTAGTCGTCTCTTTAAACATATGTTCAACAATTATAGAAATCACAAACATCGAATAACTAATTATAGCCAATGTTTTGTGAGCAACCCGATGCATCTTTTCGCTTTCTTTTTTTCTGGATTGAGTTGATTAATATTTCAAATAAAATTCGCTCTGTTGATCACCCGGCATTTTCCCTCCGACCCTTGTCCACTCTGGTCTTGTGTGGCGGCCGCCTCTTGAAATAAACGTGTCGCCGGCCGGCGTCCTGTCCGTGCTCAGACACACACGCACACACACACAAACACACACACACACACGAGCCCGCTGAGTGCTGGCCACAGTCCGTTCGTGTTTGGCGGGTGCCTTCCCTTCCCCCCGTCCCTTTACTACCTCTGATCGGTCGGACCCGCCCCTGCTGACAACTTGTCCGCGGATTCCTCTATATTTTTGTCTCGCTGACCGCGCGGCGCGCCAAGGGGCCGCCCTCGGGGCCGCCATTGTGTTGTGCCGAGGCTGGGCCGAGGTTTGGGCGGACGAGGCACGGAACCTCGGGGGAACCTGCACCTGGCGGCCAGCTGTGCGCCCCAGCTGTTTGTGTTTTTGTTTCGTGAGGTGCCGTACGGACCTCGGGAGCTTTCTCCGATATACTGGGTGCGTTGCGGGCCTTTATTGGGGTGTCCGAGGGGCCGTTTGTGCGTCTGGAGGAGGAGGAAGACGAGTGCGAGCGGTTTGGATGTTACGCCCCTTGTTCGCTCAGGCGGCCCCACCGTCTCGCCTCTATGTTTATTGCTGAGGGGATGTGTTTTTTAAGTATTGCGAAACGTGACTGTCGTGCAGGTAACGCGATCCAAAGATAAAAAGAAAAGGTCCCGAGAAGTTGTGAGACATCGTGCTTTTTAAAAGTGTGTCAAAGTTTTAAGCAATTATCTTTTTAGCGCCCGTTATCCTTTTCTTCGCTGCTCTGTGCTCCCCTCCCCCTTCCTCTAGTCCGCCACCCCCTCCTCCCCCTGGTTTCCCCCACTCTTCCCCAACCCCTGGTCTTCCTAACCCACACCTGCTAAACGGTGCACGTTCTCCACGTGCGCTTCTTCCTCTGTAAAAAATATTCAGAACACGAACCCTATAGTTCTAGGCATTTGGCCGTTTTCGTGGCCTCAGTTGAAACTTGCTCCAATATCAGACATTTTGCAGTGTAATAAAATTGTCCATGCTTGACTGTCAAGACCTCTATTGTGTGAAGTATTACAATAATTGTCTACTCTTTGACAAGATAGTTATGAACTCCCTGTTGTTTTTGTTGTTGTTGTTGTTGTTGTTGTTGTTGTTGTTGTTGTTGTTGTTGTTGTCGTTGTTGTTGTGTTGTTGCTGTTGCTTTCTTGCATATGGCTGTGTGTCGCTGCTGTGCTCCGCCGCGCCGCCGCGGGTCCATTAGAGACGCCGCTGGACCCCGCTCGGTCACCATTACGGAGCGCTGGTATTTTAATGCCGATTCCCGCGCTTTTCTCAGAAACAGTCTTCTTGCCGTCGCGCGCGGCCGCCCTGTTCAGCGCCGCGAGCTGCACAGCGAGCGCCGTGTGACACGTGTTCCCGCGGGAGGTGTGCGGATGTTCGTCGCCCAGATTACCATATTTGATGCATTACCAAATTTTTGATAGATTACCAAACATGATGGATCACCAAATTTGATAGATTACCAAACATGATGGATTACCAAATTTGATGGGGACCATTATTATGTGAAACCGTGTTGTTTCGTACTCCCATTTTGTTTCATGACCGACCGTTGCAGTCCACAGATTATCAGTATTGTCCAAGTAGGATATCTTATGCCCCAAAATTAAGAACCGATTGGTCGAAAGCCGGAAAGAAGAATTGATGGGAATGTTCCGGAAGCGGACAAACGAACAGGCTGACAGTGCGGGCAATCAGATAGGAAATAGGTAATGGTGGGGGAGGTGGAGCTCTATAAGGGGGGAGGCGGGTGGGTGGGCAGTGGGGGAGGAGGTTGGAAGGTGTTTGCATTAGCACACAATGCGTCGGCCTGTCCGCGGACTGTCCTTTCAGAAGGGTCCTCCATCCGACTGTCAGGCAGCGCCCCGCCCCACCCCACCCCGCTCGACCACGCTACCCCAGCACCCTCGCGGTCTTACGCAATGCCACAGTAATTGTTTCTTAGCCTGTCGATTAGTTGATCCATCGGTGATTGTACGAGCTTCTGCCCCGGACGGATCTTCACCAGCACTTGGTCAAATGGAGGAGGCAAACAATGATAAAATAATTCATTTGTCATAAGCTTTCCTAATATTGCTAACGTAAGACAAAGTGTGGGTGTGCGACTTCTTTGGCGCAGAGCTCTTGTATTTCAAGAGCATGCGACAGCATGTCTCGCGGCATGTTCATACTTGCAACTGTGGGACTGTGCTACTGCTGGATTGCTAGGCCCAGGGCAGTAGTTCCATTATGGACCCAGATTGGATGATTATATTGATCTTTTGTCTATAAGTAGTAGTTTGCATTATGTCAACGTTGTGATCGACTGAGTTTAGTCGGTCAGTAAATAAATCGTCTGTTCTGTGGTCACCAAAAGGCTGTATTTTGTTTTTGTCTTAATGATCCGCTTGGCCGGGCGGGGGCTGCTGCGCCGGCTGCTCACCTCCCCCGGCCCGCTGCCCCGCTGCCTCCACGACCACAGGAGGGACATTGATCCGGGATGAATTTTCTCTTCAATTATCCACCTGACCACATAGCAAGGGGCCCGGCCCCGGTCCGTCAGGGCAGATGGCTGGACCTTTTAGTTTTACGTAACGAAACATCAATTTTTTAAACAAGCCACGACGGAGTAAATGTGTGTGTAGAAGTAGTATGACACTTGTTTTAAACAAGGATAACTTTTAACCCGATGAACTGTTAAAAGTTTGACTACACGACCAAAATAATTCACGAATGTTGCATAAAGATAATTTACAAAACTATAGTTTTTGAATTTTACCGCTAAACTTTGTACAGTTTGTCCAGTTTAAGAAACAAAATTGTATCCGGTCTGGATGTGCACGACAACCGACGAAAACCTTCCTCTTTTTGGGGCAAACAGAATTGTCCTTTTACGTTTAGGGTGTACACATCGAACATTTTTGTTGTACGCCGACAAAAGCTATCGAAAAACTTGACCAAAAAATTCTCATAGTTCATTAACAAGTCTGACGAGATCATTTTTTAAAGTTTATTCATACCTTCCGTGTCTTTTATTCGATCATTGGGAGATTGGCTTTGGCGCCTGTGAGTCTCGGGGTAGGCCACCCCGCAGTACACGCATGCACTAAAGGCAAGATGTTGCCTACCTATCAGGCGCTAGAAGACCTTGCCTAGGCCAGGTCTTTTGAGACCTATGGTCTCAAAGTGAAGTGAACTTTGGCAATGGCCATTTGCTAACGACAGGTGACGAGTGCAGTTTCTAGGTGATCCCACCCCAAAAAAGGGTGGTTATTTTAGTTGAAGAACGGGTTCAGTCTTGAAGAAAATTACAACCTTCCATAAAGATGTCCTACGAGTTACGAACAGTCAAGATCCTCTTAAAGATCTGCAGATATGAATATCTCTTCGACATTGAGTTATTTGAAACCACAAAAAATTCTCATCTCATATAACTTTTGACAAAATATGTCAAACATTTCAAACTCTTCAGCTGGGACTTTGAATTTGACGAAGCTATTCGTTTTAGAAATTTAACTTAACATTTCCGAGACATCTTTAATTACGATAATTTTTATTACTGTGTTCTTTTTAGCTTTATTCTTAGTTCTAACTTCCTTTTGACTTCCCATCCGTCACAAGCAGTTGTAGATTCTCGATCCAATCTGGCTGTCTAAATAAATCGACAGGATCTCCCGAGATAGGGGCGTGGGAGCTCTCTCTCTCTCTCTCTCTCTCTCTCTCTCTCTCTCTCTCTCTCTCTCTTCTTCTTCTTCTTCTTCTTCTTCTTCTTCTTCTTCTTCTTCT